TCAAACATTGATAGAAACGGGGACTGCAGTCAGGAAATCAGAAGACTAGGAATGGGAAGGGTGGCTATGAATGAACTAGAAATAATCCTAAAATGCAAAGATATACAACTGAGCACAAAAGTTAGAATCATACAAGCCATTGCATTCCCTATTATTCCCATGGATGGATCTGAGAGCTGGACAGTCAAGAAAGAAGATAGGAAGAAAACCAATGCATTTGAGAGAATGTGGGGCTGGAGAAGAGTGCTGAGGATCCCATGGACAGCCAAAAGGACAAAGAAAGGGGTCCTAGAGCAGATCAAGCTGGAAACCTCTGTGGAAGAAGCCAAAATGACCAAACTGAGGCTGTTGTACTTTGGACACATCATGAGAAGGGAGAACTCACTGGAAAAAACAATAATGCTAGGAAAGGTGGAGGGAAGGAGAAAGAGAGGAAGGCCACATGCCAGATGGAGGGACTCTATTGTTAAGGAGGTCCCAATGGGGATTAATTAAAGGGTTGCAGGAATTAAGCAGAGCAGTGGAGGACAGGAGGTCTTCTTGGAGATGTCTAATCTCGAAGGCTGTCATGAGTCAAGATCGACTCGAGGGCAGATAACAACAAATGTGTGTGTGTGTGTGTGTGTGTGTGTGTGTGTGTGTATATATATATATATATATATATATATATATATATATATATATATATATATATATATATATATATATATATAAAATTGGAGACAGAGTTCAAATCCCTACTCAGCCATGTAAACCCACTGGGTGACCTGGGGAAAATCACACTCTCTCAGCTTCAGAGGATGGCAGTGGCAAAGCCCCTCTCAAGAAACTTGCCAAGAAAACCTTGTGGCAAGTTTGCCTTAGGGTTGCCATATGTTGGAAATCACTTGAAGGCACGCAACCACCCACCCACCATATTTAAATGAAGCGTTTCAGAATTCTGCTGAATTTTTACTGCTTCCTAGATAAATCAATAGAGCAGATTTTTGTCAAGCAATAAGTACCTGGTTGTACCAGAAGGGTTTGATAGTGTCCAAAGATATTTCATTGTTGATTTTCTTAAAATTATTTTTTTATTTTCCAGTGGTGTTTTATGTCCAGTGGCTAAAACAATAAAATTAAACTGAAAAGAACTCCCATGTGGGTCTGTGACCGAAGCTGGCCGCAGGCAAGGCTGCTAGCTATTCACCAGCCCAAGCAAATCCCAGCTTTTGGGAGGTTTCTAACGGCTTGTTAAGTATCTGGCATAGCAACTTTATAGCCTAAATTGATTCCAGTGGGACACGGAAGCTTTAAGATTTTTCTTGGTCCCCCAACCTTTCCTGTCTTCCTAATTTAGTTTCCCATACAGGCTTGGTTAAGGTCTATCTGTGTCTGAATCCAATGGCAGAACGTTGAGACAAGAAGGTAGAAATGGAAAGCATCTAATCAGGTTTTAGCTGCAAGGTCAATGTATAGTTTTCTGTGGGTTTTTCGGGCTGTGTGGCCATGTTCTAGA